GTGGCTTTAGATACAACCAACTTTTTGCAAACAAACTATGTTTTCAATGATGATAACGTGAATGCCTTTCTGGTAAGAAAAAATAAACAAATATTCTTGTTTTCTAACTAATGTTATATACATATTTTTCATTTTTCCAGCTCAACGCTGACACGGAAGTAAATAAAGACACGGAATATATTGCTAAGAACATCAAGGCACGATTCGAGAAACTACAACAAGCCACCGATAAAAACATGAAATTAGCAAAGGAAGCCCTTCCAGATTTCTCAAAACTGAAGGGTAAATTGGTCGAAAATGCAAAGAGACTTATTCAAGAGCTTGAGGCAGATCCCTCAATCGAACCGATTATTGATGGAGTGTAAGTAATTAAATAGTGTAACCTTTATACATAACCATAAATATGTCCATTCCATTTAATTTTTTTAGACGAACTGCATTTGTGAAAATATCGGCTATAATTGATGACTTAGGCAAGGCATTATTGGAAACATTCGAAAAGGCCCAAAAGTCATTTGTTGAAATTTCTGAGAAATTGCAAGCTCTTTGGAAGGACTCGCTCCTCAAAGCGTGGGAAGATTTTATCTTAACTGTAAACAATCTAATTGGTACACTACATAAGGAATTCATCAGGGTCTACACAAAGACAATTAAAAGTCTTCTCTCCGTGCTGGAAAAGTATGGCCCAGCACTGAAAAACTATGGCAAGGCCGTCGCTGAAACTCTGAAACCAATCAACGATGCAGTTCAAGAACTAGTTAAGCTCTTGGTTCGCGCGGCTGAAAGTGCAATCGACGAACTTAAAGAGTATGCCGCAAACTTACCGTCATTTGAAAGCATACGTAATGAGATTAATGACAAAGTTAAAAGTCTAAAGCTCATTGAAAAAGCTACAGAGCTGGTAAACAGTCTATTTGATCAGTTAAGTATTTTACCGCAAACTCCAGAGACCACTGAGTTCCTTCAAAAACTACAAGATTACTTAAGCGCAAAGCTAAAGCAACAACAAATCAATGATGAAAAGTCGCTTGAAGAGCTTGGAAAGCTTTTAATTAAGGCCATACGCTCAATTTGGGTCTCGATTAAAAGCACTGCTCCAGGATCATCTGCTCATGCAATTGATTTCCAATCATGGTTTGGTTCCCTGACACATTCTTTAGATTCCTTGTCTACACTCCCAACCATACTTTCATTCCGATCCAGTTTCGTGAACTATTTGTTGAATGAGAATTGGGACGCTCTATTTAACAAAAATGTACTTAAGTCGTGGATATTCTTTAATGACTTTGAGCTACGAGGCCATGTCGTCGATGGTCAGCACATATTCACTTTTGACGGTCAGAACTATGCGTACCCTGGAAACTGCAAATATATCCTGGCTCAAGACAGTGTGGACAATAATTTCACAATTATCGGTCAGCTTGCAAATGGAAAGCTTAAGGGCATCACGCTCGTAGATAGGGATGGTAACTTTGCTGAAGTAGCCGACAATCTGGCACTGAAGATAAATGGAAACCTTGTTGAGTACCCACAACAATTGTCTGGTCTTCACGCATGGCGCCGATTCTATACCGTTCATTTGCATTCTGAGTACGGAGTAAGCATAGTTTGCACCACGGATCTAAAGGTTTGCCATTTAAATATAAATGGCTTCTACACAAGTAAAACGCGGGGACTTCTCGGCAACGGCAATGCAGAGCCATATGACGACTTTCTGCGAATTGATGGTACCTTAGCGGCAGACTCGGCCGCCCTGGGAAACGATTACGGAGTTGGTAAATGTGCAGCAGTTGCACTTGACAAAGACCAAGTGGAAAGCCCGAAAAGAGAGGAAATATGTAGTGAGATATTTGGCATTGAATCACCACTTGCCTTCAACTTTATGACGGTTGACTCCAGACCTTACCGCCAGGCATGTGATAATGCCATTGCTAAAATAGCCGAAAAGGATAAGGAGGCTGCTGCATGTACGTTTGCTCTGGCCTACGGTTCCGCTGTCAAACAGATTAACAAGTGGGTGCTATTGCCACCGCGTTGCATCAAGTGCGGTGGACCTGTGGGGCAGAGGGACCTTGGAGACGAGTTCATTGTCAAGCTGCCAAACAACAAGGCGGACGTGGTATTTGTCGTCGATATCAATGTAACACCAGTAGTCCTTTCTAATCTAATAGCGCCTGCAATCAATGAAATTCGAGAGTCGCTGAAAAGCCGTGGTTTCACAGATGTCCAAGTCGGAGTTGTTGTATTTGACGAATCCAAGCGATATCCCGCTCTACTCACAAGTGAAAATGGCAAAATTAACTACAAGGGAAACCTGGCCGATGTTAAGCTCAACGGAGTAAAGAACTTCTGTGACGATTGCGTCGAGCAAATTATCACTGAAAAACGAATCTTGGATATTTACAACTCATTAAAGGAAATAGTAAAGGGCATTGCACCTCAGGCCGATGAAAAGGCGTTCCAATTGGCATTAGACTACCCATTCCGTGCTGGTGCGGCAAAGAGCATTATCGGTGTGCGAAGCGATTCTTTGGAATATAAAAACTGGGTAAGCGCAGCTTTTCGGGCTTTATCATTTTTCAAAATCTTATGAATTCCTTTTATTTAGTGGAAATTTGTTCGAGCTCAATTGACTGGATCTGTTACCAAGTTTGACGGTGCGCTTCTCCATCTTATTGCACCAGTGAAGGCGCTCACACTAGAAGGAGTGCCGGCTGAAAAACTAATTGGTAGGAATTTAAATCTATGTCACTCTATGTGAGTCATAAGTTACACTTGATTTTTACAGGCTTCAACTCTCGTTTGGTGGCTACCCTTGATGGAAAGGATCAAAAGAAGCGAGCCAAACTGCAATTCGATAATGACATGGGTATTGACTTCGTCCTTAATAACGGTGGTTGGGTGTTTGCAACGCAAAATTTCGACAAGCTAAAGGCAGCGGATCAAAAGAAAATGTTGAACCAGATTACGTCATCGCTGGCAGATACTCTCTTTAAGACCGAAATTGTCAGTGAATGTCGCTGTCTGCCGATTCATGGATTGCACGGCCAACACAAGTGCGTCATCAAGTCTTCGACATTTGTTGCGACCAAGAAGCCCAAAGCTGCCTAAAATGATTTCAAGTTTTAGATCGAATCCTTTATTCATTAATCGAAATATCTATTACCTAAAATATAAGTGAACAAAATACATTAATAAAAACGTAACCGCGAAGAACTTTAATATAAAAAGAAAACAAGGAAGAAAGCTATAGTCGAGGGCCTCGACTATCAAATACCCGTTAGTCAGCTAAAATAAGATGGAGAGCAAACAGATCGAATGAAAACCTTTTAGAAAGTGTATTTATTTAGTCGGATGTACAATCATTTTTCGTCTCAAAATTGTATATCAGAACTTTTTTATGTTGAAGGAGCGATCGTCACGACCCCTTACCTCGGTAAGAGTTGTTTTTGTTAGATGTCAGAAGTTTTTGTTTTAAACATAAATTATTAATTGGTGGCTCTATTCACTTTTGCTATAATACTCATACTCGTATGAGCTATTGTATTAGCATGGTTACTGTATGCCGCACTATACTTTAGTATAGAAACCGTTTTTTAGGAACTTAAATAAAGTATGACATCGGAAATTCAAAGCAAACATCCAAATGTTTTCCTTTTACTTAAAAAGTATGCTATAATATTCTTTTCTCATCAATTTAATCTAGCATAGTTGTGGGCATTCAAGGTAAGCTTTAAATGTTATTCCTACTGAACTTAAACGGATTGCACCCTTTATAGCTCAATATCTTCCAAATGGTAAATTTTATGAAAAAAAGTTGTATATATTAGAAGTTGAGGAATCTCAAGGTCTGTATAGATTAAAACTTTAAAAAAAATCTTTCGAAACAATTTTGAAAAAATAGAAGTTAATAAAAATAAAAAATCTATTGTATTAAGACAACTTAAGTAAAGGTAACGTGATTGGCAAATTATATTACCTTTTTAGCGACATATAGCACGTATCTGTAGCATTAGTTGTTTAAAAACTATAAGCCTTAAGTCTAGTGTTTTTTCCAAAAGTCGTTGGACAAAAGTTTTATATTTCGAGCTTCTTAATGCACACATGTTGTCCTAAAGACCCTAAAACCAAAAAAGGATTCTTGCAAACCCACAAACAAAGGGACAAACATTTTCATTTTGAAAAGAACACCAAAATCTTGTTTTTGGAATAACTAACATATGAGGTGTCATTCGCGTATTCTCAGTAAGAATAGAACTAGGTTAATAGCCGAGATCATTTATCCCCACCAGACCCAACAGCTCAAATGTTCTACATTTTCAGTTTTACACATTCACCCCTCTTTCTTCCGAACCAATTAAGATTTGTAAATTCAGTGCAATCTTCTTAGTTTTTTCGATACCTTTCGATTGGTGCATCATTCGGAACTATCAGACCATCGCAGCAGATTTTCAATTCTGTGACTATATAGTAGTCGCCTTCGCACACTCTCATGGTGCGTTTCGTCCCTACGTGGCTGCCGTCCACAGTGATATACAAGCAGCAAAGCCAGATTGTACAGCGCCACCTATTCGCGATTTTAATGTATGGTAATGTGGGCGGCAGTCAGATTTCTTATTTTTAGGTCAATCGATACAGTTACAAGTTTTTTTAGCACTTAAACTGTAGGAGCCACAGTTTTGGGTGGTTTGTGGAAGTTTGAGTGGACGTGGCATATTCGCGTAACAAACTTGCGCTGCTTACGAAAATAAGGAATCTAATCCCAACCCTCTAGCCTTTAGTTTCCGAAATCACAGCATTCACACGGACGTGGCTAGATTGACTCGGCTAGTGATGCTGATCTAAAACATACATACTTTATGCGGTCGGAAACGTCTCCTTCGCTGCGTTGCAAACTTCTGACTAAAATCATTACACACTCTGCAAGGGTATAAAAATTACCAATTTTTGGCATAAAGAAAGGACGGTTGTAAGCTGAAAAAACAAATGTTTATTAGTACATAGTAGAAATATTTGGTGAATATATCATTGAGGAATTGTAAATTTATTAAAAGCGGGTTTTTACCATATTCAAAGATATTTTAGTTGTAGTTGCACGATTCTTATAGTTTTAGATTTAATTTAGGCACTTTCACAATTTAGGGTAAATATATAAATATTGTCATCATGTAAAATAAAATACAATTGAGGCTAATCTATGTCAATAACACATCATTTTCATCTCGAGTCAATAAAATGTAATTACTTATATTAAAAACTCTCTTTTTGACATTGAAGATAACCGAGGACATTTATGACTATGTCTACCGGACGGAAAATGGAAAATGTCAAGGCATATATCGAGATAGCTGTGAAGAAAATCAATTTTAAAAATATTAATAGAAGTATGATATGAAAATTAATATTACTTACGCTAAGGGCAACCGCACTCATCAACAACCATTTTTGGCAAGTCTCTTTTAATGATTCCATCATCACCATAGTATATCAATGACATACTAGAGAATTTTATTGGAGCGCAACAGGGTCTCATTCCATTTAAGAGGCCCATTTTCCGATACTCTTCTATAAAATGGGCATGGAATGTTTGGAACGTATCTGGTGTCCTGAAAGACCCCGTGCAATCGCCCCTGCAATAGTTCGCAAAATATCCCCTGGGTGCAATAATCCAATCATCCCAACCAAGTGCCTTGAAGGATACATAAAAGGACTCCTTGCAGCATTGACCACTTAAGGCACCGCCACAATCCACGGCTCGTCTCCTAACTCGTCTTGTCCTCGCTGATTCTGTATGAAGTACGAGAAATGGTCGATTGGGATATGGGCTCAAATTGTCTGATGCTGATGAGTTGTCTCTTAGCTTCGATGTTTGAAAAAGGTGTAATGAGTATCGACCACTGCAGCCAGTGCAATCAATTAACAGACGCAGTTTTTCGTTACTGCCAAGCCCATACCACTCTCGGATCGTTTCGGTTAAATCGAATTTTTGCCATCCCAAATGCTTGGTGTCGACTTCAAAAGAAGCCCGGAACAGAATAGCTTTGTCTATTCCCTAATAATAAAATTCGTAAGGAAATTGTAAAATCACAGAATATCATCGTTTTAATATTACCTTCTCTGTAATATTTATCGCTGTTGATAATTGAAAAACCCAGATTTTTATTCTGTGGTGAGGTTTATTTGCCCGCCATTTTCGTTTAGTATTTAGCAAATGTTTTTCCTGCAAATGTTTTGCTCTTTCGATCCAGAAACTGTGTGGCTTGTCTATCCGTATATGAATCTGGGCGCTGCGAATGGAGAGTTTTTGGTTTGGAACACGGCGATTTTGGGGCGAAAATTCAAGTATTCGATATTGTCGATATTGGGTTCCTTAAAATAAAAGTGTTAAAGATTATTAATAGATGGAAAAATGTAAGCCTTAAGGTCGGTTTACAAATAATAGTTAGGCTAAGTTCGCATAAAGTTGAATAAAAGTGAATTGGCACACACATGATTTTGCACGTAAAGTTTGTGAAATTACCAGGTCGACAAAATCTCGACGACTTTTGTAGTAATTTTACAAGTCATAATTTTTTCGAAACCGTACATTTTCCATCACGAGCCACTCTAGGGAATGTCGTCATTAAGGTAATCAAATATAACAATCTCAATAAGTAGTTTGCAACGCAGTAACGTAGAGATATTATATAACATTTATGCGTTTCTAAGCAATCTAGTCGCTCCCCTGCAGTTCCTTATGTCACAAATTAGGCCAATGACATTCTCGTGACTTCAATGTGTCGACTTCAACTTCGCCCGAGCCGACACTCTCATTCGTCTATCGTGTCAAAACTGAAGTAAATAATTCATTTTCATTTTTAAAAAATTAAGTTAGGGAAAGTTCGACGACAAGTCGATGAGAAGTGGATTAAAAGTGGATAAATTTGTCCCTTAATGATAACTGATGCCTAAACCCTCCTTGCAGTTCCACCATTTAGCCACGATCGCAAGGAAGGCGGGCCGAAGGCAACGGCAGAAAAGCGCTTTTTTAGTGCTTAAAAAGCGCTTACTGCAGGGCAACGGTCAGCTCGGAATACAATAACATTTTGTCTTATATTTGTGTGAACAATTTTCACGGGTCAGTGAAGACTACTTTTGTATACTGTTTGTGTAGCGACGAAGAAAAAGCAGAGCTATGCCCCATGCCCGTCTTAGTGGGGAGTTGCCGTCCGCTGCCTTAAAGCTATTAGCTGAAACTTTTCCCAAAAATCATATTTTTAGTGCAGGTAGTACGACTGTTGTCCGAATCGGATGATGCAATTTTCGAATAGAGCGCTTTCGTATCGAGCTGCAAAGGGAATAAGCAAAAATTAACAAAAACGAAAACGGGAGGAATTACCCAGATTTGTCAAGTTTCTTTTATTTTGACAAGGAAAATCTAAAAACGATTTTTTAGGATAACTTTGTTACAGGGTTCAGAAACATTTCTTTAAGCCCTGTCTGAATTTGAGAACGAAATTCTTAATTTTAGAATGTTTTGTTCTTAAATTGTGTTCTTGAAATAGGAATATATTTTTTAAAACCAGAACAAACGTTCTTAAAGATTGTAAAAGCTCTCCTTAACTTAAAATTAATTTCGGAATTTTAATTATTACATTAGGAGAGAGACATGCTGCAAATATGATTATTTTTACAACCTTTCTAACAAAATTTATATGCCCGCTTTTGCCTCTTTCGTATTAGAAGACCATCTAAAAACATATCATATATACTATTATGGTTAGGTTATAAGCATTTGATTTACAGACTAAAACAATAAAGTCTTCTGCAAGGAAGCAGAAAGCCGATATAACCATTAGTTGCGTTTTTTATAGGTCTACAAAAAAATATTTCCAAAAATCGGAACAGGGGAAGCTGTGGTTTCATAGTTTACTATTAGTATAGTATAGTAGTATTTAGTATTTTTTAGTTTTATAATAAAAATTGAAAAAAAAACATTATCCCTGAGCGATACAAATTGAAACAAAAATAATTATTATTTCGGAGATTTTTTTTTTTATCAAAATAAAAATTGAAACAAATATAATTATTATTTCGGAGTTTTATTTTTTTTTTTCAAAATAAAAATTGAAACAAAAATAATTATTATTTGGAGTTTTATTTTTTTTTATCAAAATAAAAATTAAAACAAAAATAATTATTATTTCGGAGTTTTATTTTTTTTTATCAAAATAAAAATTAAAACAAAAATAATTATTATTTCGGAGTTTTATTTTTTTTATCAATGTTTCAATTTTTATCGCGCAGAAATAATGTTTTTTTTCATTTTTGTTATAATACTAAAAAATACCCAAATTGTTATTTTAAAAGTTGTTACTAACTAATTTAAGCAGGCTTTACAAGGTCAGTAGTACCGCTACCGTCCGCTAGGTCCACACTAATAGAAATGTCCTGGGATTTTATTTAATTTAAAATTTTTAACAGAAAAACGGGCACTTCAAAACAGCTTACATTTAAAACATTTTACTTTATCTTTTGCTAATACTATAAGGCTATGTCGTTCTGTAGTTTTCGTATGACCCTAAGGAAATTAAAAATATTTCAAAATGGTAGTTTAACGTGATTTTGTACTTTAAAATTAAAAAGTTTTCTTTTTGTTTCGTAGAATAAAAAAAATATGGGGCATATTATAGATTTTTTAATTTATACGATAACCGCAAATTCGCTAAGCATATTCTGTTAATTGAAAGTCGTCAGGTCGGTTTTGAGATATCTTGGCTGTCAGTAGAAAAAAGCGTAGTTTCCAGAAAAGGGGTTTGAAATTTATTTTGATCTTTTTTCCGTAGAGCCTTTCCCACAGAAATCGACTTACCTTCTTCTGCAAATGTAATTATTTCCTGAGTATTTCCAAAGAAGTCTTCACGATCAATATTTTCCTGGTCATGAACAACTGATTCGTAATGCCGCTTCGATTTTTCTTCATCAATGTTTTGGACCATTGGGTGATATTCAATGCTTGAGCTACTTTCATGGTACTGGCTTTTCTCATCAGCCTGAACACTGTAATCGTTAAAATATTCATAAGCATTGCGCCTGATCTCACCATTTATGCCACTATTGGCGCTACTATCACTACTACGATTTATATCTATTAGATATGTAGATTTTCTGTACGCATTCGCATTTATCTGTCTGTCGCTGAAGCCATTAACATTATTGGAGTCTCCACTTTTCAACATCTGAGTAACACTGCCATGGTGGCCTTCATGTTGTGTTGTAGATTTAGACGCAATACGAGAATTTATTTTTAATTGACGTTTTTCTGTCCTTCTCTTCAAAAATAGGTTTTTCCCATCGACTTTTTGTATATGTTGTCTTTTTCGGCCTGCAGACCGATTTTTCAATACTTGTTCATATACATTCCCTTTACTTGTGTTGAAGTTGAAATCGAACGGTGATCGAAATTGATGTTGAATACTAGGAAAGGTCCTTCCGCCCCGGCCACTGAACCTATGTATTTCGGGTAGGGTTAACGTCCGTGGTCTGGAGTTCTGTTGATTAAAATCATTACCACTGCTCTCGAATGCATTGTTTATCCGTTCACCATCTGCACGATATAATGTTTCCCAAATAAATTGCTTAGGTAGGGGATGAGATACATTGGGTTTGTGGCTAAGACCAAGTTTCGTCAAAATTTGCCGTTTTATCGACTCCAAGCGAACTTGGTCGCTCGGTGCAATGTTGTTATGCGGTTGACTAGTTTTTTTGTTGAAGTAATTGTTGGTATGGTAATTGTTGTAGATGTTGTAGTCTGTGTGTGGATTATCTGTGTAAATGTGATAATTGTAAAGTGTTATGTAAGTTAAATTATAATATTTTTTTTTGGTTTTCTATGGGGTGTATTCGTATTTGTAATTTAGTATAAAGAAATTTATATACACTATTCGGCATAAGGTTTTCCACGAAACAAAAGTTAAACATACTCTTACTTTGAACTTACTTTATGTACATTTTGGCACCAATGAAATGGCCATTAAAATTAAATGTCAAATTTTTGTAAAAGTCTCCTTTTTTAAAAATCTCTTTGATAATAATTTTTATGGTATTTGAATTATTACACCGCGCAGATCGGTGATCGAGCCCACGAAACGACATGCGACAAATGTAATTATTTTCACAACCTCTTTTACGAAATTTATGTGCCCGAATTTGCCCCTTTCTTTTTAGAAGGCTAGCTTAATTCATCTTATATCATCAAAATAAGTTATTTAAATTTATTTCTTTGTGTAAGTATGGAAAGTGTATGAGATTAAATAAGTACAAAATAAATAAAAAAAACAGTACAAGAATTTAAGATCTAAACACTTTACTTTTACATACTTGTTCTTACTAAACATTTCTGGGATTATTTCAAAAGCTAGACAGTCGATTTTAAAATCACTCTCAGAACTTGTAAGTAATTTGCTATGTAATTTGAGATCCCTCAACTTTTGACGTATTGGTTATTTTTAGGCTTTTATTTCCAAGTCATTGAATAAAAGTAATGGGAAGACTTAAAAGACTTTTAAAAGTCGTAAATCATAGAATTTTCAATTTTACCTATCAAATAGTTACTCTTACGTAATACGTAAACGTAAGGGTTACTATTAAAAAAGGTGTGTGCATAACTATAAAAAAGGGTAGAATGGATCCAACCCAAGAATTGTAGTTAAATAAGTATTTTCATAGTTATCCAATTCATAAAACGTAGTTAGTGAATTGTTTAATATATCTTAATATATATCTTAAAATTGAAAAGTGACTTTCAGCTAGTGTATGTTGAAGACTTCAGATAATATCCATATGTTTTAAGTCTTCACTTTTCAGATTTTGGCTTGCGAGTCTTGGTGACCGTGATGCTAGACCCAGTTGGGAATTATAAACCACACATTGGAGAACAATTTTAAAGTTTATGTGTGGAAGATTTCTTCAATTTTAGAATTTCTAATATTGGAAAAAAGAAAATGTTTTTTAATAAAAAAGCCAATTTTATATTTATGGTAAACCCGTCAACTTTAATTTCAATACTTATTTACAAGATAATCATTGCAGTCCGCAAACAATTTATTCACGGTAATTCCTAAGAAGTCACGGTCCATCGAATTACACTAGTCTTTAATTTTCAGTATCGGACTTGGTTCGGCAGGATGTAGTAACAGTTGGGTACTATAATTGCCAAAAAAAAGTATATTTAAGTTTCCATCCTTTTTTAACTTTAAAATAACGATTTTGAGTGCGTTCTTTTATAAGGGAGGTTGGCAGCAACTTGTCTTGCCATACATCCATTATAAGTAGCTTCCTCCGTTCTCACTTGATTTTAAAACAAGCGTGTAAATCAAAAGATAAATATGAGTGACCAATATCAGATTGATAGAAGACAAGAAGCACGGGGAAAGCTTAAAGAAACCGATCAGCAGCGTAGCCTTTAACCAAAGGTGCAGTAGTACAAAAAGCTTCTTGGAAGGCAAAGCGACATGGCAGAAAACATAACAATTAATTAAGTAGATTAGCGAGTGTCATAGATGGCGTAGCTTCAGTTGGAAGACAATTTGGCTTAGGAAAAAAATAAATTACAGTTTTAAAACAAGGAAGAACGCTGAAGTCGAATACCTCGATTATCACATTCCCGAAACGCTGTCCCGCAAGGGAAATAGAGATATGCAAGCAGCAAAGCGACTTTTTTGTGCAAACACTCGTTAAACACCCCAAACCCCGATTAAGCGAAAGTAACAATCAGTTACATGGTCGATTCGATTTTTCTCTTTAACTGGTCTTTTGAGATTTGTGGGCATTCTAGCGCTTGTAGGCGTGGCAATATTTAGGACAATGGATAGGCTTGACGAAACCAAAACATTTCAGTTAAAAGTTTTATTCTAGCCTCAAAACTGCGAGTGCCACAGTTTGAGTGGCTTGTGAGCGTTAGAGTGGGCATGGCTCCCTGCTGAAATGCACCTGCGCTGCAAGCATTTCTAGAGTCGGCCTAATCCCTACTCACTAGTTTAAATAGTTTTCCAGTGACACTCGGCTGAAGCAGATTCTGCCTGATTGTCTTCCGACTTAAAAAATGTAAATCGTTATTAAAACGATACTAGTAATAGTACAGGAGACATTTTTATTTAGTTAATAAAAAAATTTAGAATGCACTTTTAATTTGCAGCCAAATAAATTTGTTTGTCAAATAAAATTAGTTTTGCCTTTTTAAGAAAATGTTAAGGTGTGTTCTTAAACGGTAAATATTTTTTTTGAGAAAAGTAAAGTTTGAATTAAAATCAAATTTTTTTCGTTCGCAAACAAACTTAGCCAAATATTCAGAGGGAATACAAATGAGTTATTTTAACTATTGCTGTTTATGAAATGCTTCAGTACGCCCACAAACCCCCCATACCGTGGCTCCTACAGTTTTCATGCTAGAATAAAAATTTTAACTGAAATGTGTTGTTCAGACTTAGATTCCGTAGCCTTGTATGCAGCGCAAGTTTGTTACGCGAATATGCCACGCCCACTCTAACACCCACATACCGCCAAAACCTGTGGAGCCCACAATTTTCATGCTAGATTTTACTCTGAAATTTATTAGTCTCGTCAATACCTATCGATTGATCCAAAAAAAGTTCGCCATGCCCACTCTAACGCCCACAAACCGCCTGACCCTTTGGCGCCCACAATTTTCATGCTAGAAAAAAAAAGTTAACTGAAATGTATTAGTCTCGTCAATACCTATCGATTGGAATCAAAAGAAAATAGCAAGCCCACTCTAACGCCCATAACGCATAAATCTGTCTACCGCCCATTTAACGGGTATCTAACAGTCGAGGTACTCGACTATAGCGTTCTTCCTTGTTATACCCGTTACTCGTAGAGTAAAAGGGTATACTAGATTTCCGACCCCATAAAGTATATACATATATTCTTGATCAGGATCACTAGCCGAGTCGATCTAGCCATGTCCGTCTGTCCGTCCGGATGATCGCTAAGATGTCGGGAACTATAAGAGCTAGGCTTTTGAGACTTGGCGTGCAGATTCCTGAGCTTCTTACGCAGCGCAAGTTTGTTTCAGCAGAGTGCCGCGCCCACTCTAACGCCCACAGGCCGCCCAATACTGTGGCTCCTACAGTTTTCATGCCAGAATAAAAATTTTACCTGAAATGCCTATCGATTGATAAAAAAAAAGTTTGCCACGCCCACTCTAACGACCATAACGCTTATATCGGTCTACCGCCGGTAGGTAACGCATTTTAATATCGCTTTGTTGCTTTCATATCTCCATTTCCCTTTGTTCCCTTTAGCTGAGTAACGGGTATCTGGTAGTCGAGGTACTCGACTATAGCGTTCTTCCGTGTTTTAAAATAGTTTCTGTGGACTAAAAACAATGGCGTACCGCAGAACTTTAAATTTTTATACCCTAGCAGAGGGTATAATGATTTCAGTTAAACGTTTGTAACGCAGTGAAGGAGACGTTTCCATAAAGTATATATATGTTTACACAAATTAGTCTCTCCCTTGCTATCGGGATGCAATCTTCCCAAAAGTAGTATGTAAGTCGGAACGAGACGGATCGGACAACTATATCCTATAGCTCCCATAGGAATGACCAAAAAATTATTTTTAAGAAGCTAGCTTCGGCACGTCGAAGTTTCCGATTTTTAGAAAACTAAAAACTGATTACAAAAATTTTAAGATAATGTTTAATTTGAATTTACTTACTAACTATAACGGTCTATGTATTATTTTGACACTAGTTGTCCGATCGTTCCTATGATAGCTATATGATAGAGTCGCCCGATTTGTTTTAAATTTTATTCGAATTTCTTAAACAACTAAAAGTGATATTCCCAAGAGTAGAAGTTAATATGTCAAAAAACACCAAAGTTAAAATTTTATTTACATTTTTTCAAAAATAGTTTTTTGATTATACCCATGTGAGCTAATCTATAAAGTCCGACTTAAATACTATATGTAAATGGAAATACGACTTTTGGGAAGGTTTGATCCCGGTAGCTTAAAAACTGAGAGACTGTTTATGTAGAATCGGACAGACGGTCATGGCTAGATCGACTCGTCTAGTGATGGTGACCAAGTATATATTACTTTATGGGGTCGAAAACGTCAAAAAATGATAGCTCTGGTGTTTTTATACCCGTTACTCGTAGAGTAAAAGGGTATACTAGATTCGTTGGAAAGTATGTAACAGGCAGAAGGAAGCGTTTCCGACCCCATAAAGTATATATATTCTTGATCAGGATCACTAGCCGAGTCGATCTAGCCATGTCCGTCTGACCGTCTGTCCGTCTGTCTGTCCGGATGAACGCTGAGATCTCGGAGACTATGGGAGCTAGGCTATTGAGATTTGGCGTGCAGATTCCTGAGCTTCTTACGCAGCGCAAGTTTGTTTCAGTAGACTGCCACGCCCACTCTAACGCCCACAAACCGCCCAAAACTGAAACTCCTACAGTTTTGATGCTAGATAGAAAATTTTAACTGAAATGTATTGTTCTCATCAATACCTATCGATTGACCTAAAAAAAAGTTTGCCCCGCCCACTTAAACGCCCACAAACCGCGAAAACCTGTGACGCCCACAATTTGGATGCTAGATAAAAATTTTAACTGAAATGTATTGGTGTCGTCAATACCTATCGATTGATCCAAAAATAAATTTGCCACGCCCACTCTAACGCCCATAACGCTTAAATCTGTCTACCGCCGGTCGGTGGCGCATTTTAATTTCGCTTTGCTGCTTGCATATCTCCATTTCCCTTTGAGTAACGGGTATCTGATAGTCGAGGTACTCGACTATAGCGTTCTTCCTTGTTTGACATATAAACTTCTACTCTTGGGATTATCATTCTTCTTTTAATATTTCGAATTAAACTTTAGGTAGGAAAGTAAGTAGGAAATTTGTTCTTCGTCGAGGGTATTATGGATCGTTTTCAATATAAGACCATATTAGAACATCATTTGAAAGCATCTTTGAACAAATTATGCTAACGAGTGAATTTCGAAAAGAATAAAAAAATTAATCTTAGGTGGTGTTAGTCCAAAAGTGGTGTGGAAATAAAATTAAATAATGTGACAATTAAAAAAGGTGACGAATGACCCTAATCTCCGCTAAAGCGGAGATAGAGAAGCCGCTGGCTTCTACAGCGTGGAGGAAAAAAGTAAGCCCGCTAGGACAGTGGATGAGCCATTGCCAGCCATTGCCAGGATGCTGTGCATCATCGGGACAACCCCGTTCCCAATCCGCCTTGCTCTCCCTCGAGGCCCATGTTGGAATATTTCTAATCGAAGCTGGACTGCAAATGGCTCTGAGAAAATGGCGAAGTATTCCATGACAAGAAAAGGAAGGCTTTAACTACTAATAAGTAAAAAGATCTTTTGAACATTCCATTTATTTGCATTTCTGTGTGCATCACCAGATTGGTATTTTTAAAATCCATCAATTTTTCATTTGCCAATAAAACAAACCCAGCTGCTTGACAGTATGACCATGCTACACGCATTGCGGGTGAACTTTGAGTCTTCGGTCACACTACAAAGAACACGATATTTCGACTAGTGAAACTTTTAGCTGATCTGAGTGCTAGGCTTATGGATGAAATGGTATGTACAGTTTTGTCAGGCCCGTTATTAAGTTTTTAGTTTATAACTTAAACGGTTTAAGTTAAATAAAAATGAAATTAAGGTTGTTGTATAATAATAACATTTTAAATAAAACTGCATAATTTAGTTTCCTGTAAAAGCTATAGAAGTTTGGTAAAATCACAAAAAAGGGGTTCGCATGTAGACCTTAGCCCGCCACTGTAAGAATTATTATGAATTCAATTTGGGAAGGATCAAACAAATAACGTCATAATAATACATAATTCGTTTCCGCTAAACATATTCTCTAGTAAATTGAAATGGAATATTATCTTATTATTTCTAAAAATCTGAAAACTCTTTACATACATTGATCCCATAGGAAGAACCAGAAAGGGTGTACAAACTTTAGTTAGAAGTTGGCTTCCCTTCTTGTTTTAGGTCAATTGTATCAATTCAAACCTGCGTTTTAAGAAAAATGTTTACCTTTATCGTTGTAAATGTTGAGTTTGCCTTCCTCATGGCACAATGTGCATCCCTTATGAGTCTCTAGATTAGAAGCAAAGTAGTTCCCGCTGCTGATCCCATTGCAGTTTATTAGTTTGACTTCAAACCAAACGAGTCCAATAAGAAGCCAAATAAGATTGGCTTTATTTCGTTTAATCTTTGAGCAGTTCCGAATTGAACTTTGTGTTAGTGACCAAGGTGATATTATTTCCTTCAGAGGTGACACTAAAACGCTTCTTTCTGACCGACCCAGCAGCTTTACTTCTGGCACTGTGTCATAATCTACTCTATAATTTGTCTCTGAAGCTTGGCATGTAGCGTCGCTAAGGCCTTGTTGAAAGACGCTCTCATTAGTTTGCATCCGTTGATTAGTCCGAAGGTGTTTTGGTGGACTGCGTTGAACTTGTTGCCGCTTATCTCTAACCGCATTTCTGTTCCTGCGTCGCCTGCGCCTGCGTCGACGACGTCTTCTTCGTTGCCGTTTGCGATTGCGACTGCTGCAAAGCATTCTACACAGATTGTTGGACTTCACCTGCTGATCGTTGTTTATCTCGTACGAAGTGTAACCATAAAGTAGCTTCAGCTTTAAGTCCGAATTGCTGCTGGGAGCTTCGTTTGGCGTCGTAGGAATCGAGACGTGGACTGCTCTACTGCTGGTCCTGTTTACATCTGAGACACCAGGCTGGCCAAGTACCGAGAAGATATCCAGGAGAATGCAGCTTGTTAGGAGAGTGGTTGCCCAGCGCGCAAGCACTAAAATGGCGCCCACTAGCTTCGACACGCCTGAAATTTCGGGGTCAGGAACTTTCTTGCGCGATACAGCCGGTTGGAGAAATGATTTTCCGGAGCCATTGCTTATGCAGCAGTTAAAGCTAAAGCAGCAGCAACACTTAACGACGACAACGCAGCAACCCTGGCGACAGCAGAGGCATTGGCAATTGAAAAAGCATCTGTTGCTTTTAAAAGACGTCTCCGACTGCGATTGATGGGGGTCGAAAGCAAACCTCATCTTTGATATTTGGCAACGGGTATTACTGGCAGTGGCCCTCAGAATAGATGTAAGAGTAATGGCAGTTTTATAGTCTTGGTATCCAACTTCCGATCCATTGCAAATCTTGTTCATTGGGGCTGTGTATATTCATTTTATTCCTGTAAAAAAATAAACATAAATTTAGTGGTTTCAAAGTTGAATTTCGCAATCATTATGATTAAGTTTTACTTAAGACATGTGTCCCTTAATAGATTGACTTTTATTTATCAAATTCTTATAAATTATTTGAAAAAAAACAGTTTTATATTTTTTGGGTGAACTTCCGTTTACCTTTGATTTCGATTACACTTTTCAAACCCAAGTTTTTTCAAGGGTCCTTATTACGAAAAAATAGTCAAGGCTGGCGCAAATACCGTTTTCATGGAAAATATCCAATATTTATACCATGCAAAATACTGACTCTGTTCCTTTAACTGCAAAGGTATGTAAGCTAAAACTTGCCGAAGCTAGCTTCCTTTCTTGTATCCATGTAATATTATGGTTTTAATATTACCATAAAATAAAACACAATAGTCGAGTGCCTGGACTATCACATTCCCGTTACTCAGCTATCCAATTAAACTTATTTGCTAATGCTAACCTTTAGGGACGTCAATGGAAATTAACAAAATTTTACAAAATAGCATTAACATTCGGAAAATATCTTCGACAAGAAAAGAAGCTTACTTCGGCAAGCCGAAGTTTATATATCCTTGCAGGTCGTTCCCGTGGGAGCATTGTATGTAAAGAGCTTTCCGATTTTTAGAAAAACAACAAGGAAGAACGCTATAGTCGAGTACCTCGACTATCAGATACCCGTTACTCAGCTAAATGGAGATATGCAAGCAGCAAAGCGAGATTAAAATGCGCCACCTACCGGCGGTATACAGATTTAAGCGTTATGGGCGTTAGAGTGGGCGTGGCAAATTGGATCAATTGGATCAATCGATAGGTATCGACGAGACCAATACATTTCAGTTAAAATTTTTTATCTAGCATGAAAATTGTGGGCGTCACAGGCTTTCGCGGTTTGTGGGCGTTAAAGTGGGCGTGGCAAACTTTTTTTTGGGTCAATCGATAGGTATTGATGAGAACAATACATTTCAGTTAAAATTTTTATTCTAGCATCAAAACTGTAGGAGCCACAGTTTTGGGCGGTTTGTGGGCGTTAGAGTGGGCGTGGCACTGTGCTGAAACAAACTTGCGCTGCGTAAGAAGCTCAGGAATCTGCACGCCAAATCTCAATAGCCTAGCTCCCATAGTTTCCGAGATCTCAGCGTTCATCCGGACAGACGGACAGACGGACAGACGGACATGGCTAGATCGACTCGGCTAGTGATCCTGATCAAGAATATATATACTTTGTGGGGTCGGAAACGCTTCCTTCTGCCTGTTACATACTTTCCGACGAATCTAGTATACCCTTTTACTCTACGAGTAACGGGTATAAAAATTAATTACAGAAATATTAAGACACTGTTCCATTTCAATTTACTGCCTTATATGTTTATCCAAAACCAAATATAGCGGACCGCCTTTGTATTATTTTAACACTAATTATCCGATCGTTCCTATGGCAGCTACTTAATAAAGTCGTCCGGTTTTTTTTTAAATTTTATTCGAAATTATAAGAATGATATCCCCAAGAGTAGAAGATAATATGTCAAACAAGAAAGGAAGTTATCTTCGGAAAACCGAAGTTTGTATATTATTAAATTTAAAAAAACCAAAAAATAAATATCCAATAGTATAAGGTAATATGTCATATTACATCGAAGCTATAATTTGTTTCATATTATTTTCCCACCAATTTTCCGATCGTTCCTATAGCAGCTATATGATAGAGTCGTCCGATTTTGATAAAATTAAATTCGAAATTCCGAACTAATTAAAAAATGTTTTTTCCAAGTCCCAGCAATTGCGTTCATATTCTATATTTCAAGACAATTTTATCCTCTTTGTTACTCTTATAATTTGTGTTTCCCCAAAACCTTCTAAAATAGCATCTGTTCAAAAGTTTGCATACAGCTGGAGATAGTTGCATTTATTGCCAATTTAATGGTCTGATTTAATTTGCACTATCAAGGTAGGCAATTATCAAAAGATTTGTCAATGCATTTTTAATCATGGAGGCCAAATTTAAATAGGACACGCAATTATCTTAAAAATGCAAAACTTAAAAGCAAAACCTACATCCAAATATATATATATACTATACCAAGCTGTACGCAAAATTTTAAACTCATGTTATTTTAAAAGGTTTTGGGGAAACACGAATTATAAGAGTACCAAAGAGGATATAATTGTTTTAAACTATACAATTTGAAGGTAATAGCTGGGACTATCCACATAAAAGTTATCCTTTTTTTATATCACTTCTTTCCCAAGATTTTTACATTCAAAGCGAAAAAAAATTAAAATTAGTTGCACTGTACGCAGAGATATGACGCTGAGTGTATATGCTCTATGGGGTCGATGCACCTGTTACATACTTTTTCCTGAGTAACGGTTATTAAAGGGCAACGATATCTTGGACATTATTGTTTGCTATGCAAATCTTGTTAAACGTATAATTAAACGTACGACTTTTACATTTGAAAACAACAAAAATATGTAGATTTCAGGGAACCCGACAATTGTTTTTTGGTTGTCTTTCATTGACAAAGCATGTAAGACAAGGCATCCTTTTTCTTATTTAAAGTTAAAAAAAACTATTCCCAAAATCTCTGGTGTTTTCTATATGATATACTGCCTGCAATAGAAAGACTATTTTTGGGAAAGTTACGGTTTGACGCTACTCTTTGATGTTGACCAAGAATACATTTTAATTCAGAAATGTTTCATCCGACTTGTAATGTATTTTTACACACTCTTTAGACACTACGGAACGTAGCTTAAAAACAGGTTGAGTTTCTATATTATTCTAAGATTTTCTTAGCACCATTTCCTAACTGTTAAGCGTTTAGTAATATACAACATCATTTTATGTCTATGATGCGCTGAAAATATTTTTTTTACAAAAACGATTGTGTGGGATAGCTTTATGTAACTTAAAGCTCATTAAGAACAAGACAGCTAAAAGATTAAATTACAATTATTTGCTTTCAATTTTATGGCGTACATCGCTACCAAGCGTCATATGGCAGAGGGAGTACTTAGGCTGACAGACCACACTCTAAGGATCCCGAAAACACCCACACTTATGCAGACATGTCTGCCCCAACTAAAGAACGCAAGGCGACACTCAGTCAGCCGCAGTCGAGACGAGACGACGCCAGACTGGTCACATACAAGTACGGCAACGGAAAGGGGAGATATCAAATATCATGTGTTGTACTGCAAAACTAATACGTATGAACTACATAGTTACACGCCTACTTTGATAATGTGTATAGTATGTTTTACAAAATGTATCATCTTTGTATTTTTTAAGTATCTTTAAATATCTATATTTAATTACTGTTAAATTCTTCGAGTCGACTATTAATAAACACTGTATATTAAAACTTGAGGTTGTTCACATTTTTAAAAATGTATTGTGATTTTGATTTAGCAAGGAAAGAACTGACGGACGACGGTCTGAATGACATTGCATACTTTATGAGGCATGCCATACCACTTGAAGCTTTTGAAAGCTTTTTTAGTAGCGTTGCCCCCTTTCTAAAAAGTCTAAATTTAGGTACGACGTGGAAATATCGATGCTTTTGACAACATCGATAGGAATGGTCACGACAATGAAATAAGTTCAAAGCGAGGCGCGAAAATATATATAATCATTGGGATTTTGCTTATATTATTTTATTGTTTTTATATCAATCTAGTAGTTTTGAAAAAAACCGTAAACAGACTAGTAAAGAAATACTTTCTATAAACACGGCGAGATTTGGGCTAAAAGTAGTTAAAAATGGCAACCGGCTTCTTTCGCCTTTTTGTGCTCAGTTTCTCACCCTTAAAGCCTTGTACTCACATCGACGAAAATTTGGAGCTAACCATAGGAGGTGCGAGAGGCAAATAGGCAGCTAACACGGTACTCAGATGAGCTAAGGAAATACCTGAAAAAATAAATGATTTTGTGAGTGAATTCCAATGAACGTCATTATCCGACGCGCAGAGTAAGATATTTAAAATTTCGGTGCGTTCGGTGTGGAAACAAAAAATTAAAACTACAAGGGAAAAAGCAAAAGTGCATGCACGAGGTAAAAAAGGACGGCTTATCCAAGCTGTTGTCCAGTATTGTGGGACTTGACCCACAGGAAGCAATACCACAAAAAAATAAATCCGCAGAAGAATGGAAGTGCTCAGTAATCTCATTGAGAAGGCCACTTGGTAGAAGCTTGCCGAGTGGGACTTCTCTCCCAACATGGTCATACTGCCGGACGCGTCCTCGGTTGTACTAATGACCCCCAATAATACGATCTTCGACGAGCTCTCCATTGGGGAATCGCTGGACTCCACCATCATCAGCTATTCGACTTACATTGACGAAAACCGCGAGCTAACCATAGGAGTGAGCGAGAGGCATAAACGCGGCTAACGCTTTTCGCTCAGATGAGCTAAGGAAATACCAGAAAAAATACCTGATTTAGCGAGTGAATTTCGATGAACGCCGTTAGCTGCTGCCCACAGAATAAGAAATTTAATCTTTGACGGTGTTCGTGCAAAGGCAATGTGGAAACTAAAAATTAACAAGAAAGAAAGTTAGCTTCGACAAGCCGAAGTTTGTATACCCTTGCAATTCAAATTATTAAATTTAAAATTACAAAAAATGATATTTCCAATAGTATAAGATAATATGTCAAAAAACACCGAAGCTATAATTTGTTTCATATTATTTTCCCACCAATTTTCCGATCGTTCCTATGGCAGCTATATGATATAGTCGTCCGATTTTGATGGAATTAAATTCGAAATTCAGAACTAATTAAAAAATGTTATTTCCAAGCTTAGGAGGTTATATGTTAAAAACACCAAAGATATATTTCTATAAATTTTTTTTTATTATTCCAATGCTATAGATATAGTTGTCCAAACCGGCTGTTTCCGACTTATATACTACCTGCAAAAGAAATAAGACTTTTGGGAAAGTTTCAGCCCGATAGCTTTAAAACTAGGAGACTAGCTTGCGTAGAAACGGACGGACAGACGGACATGGTTAGATCGGATCGTCTAGTGATGCTGATCAAGAAAATATATACTTTATGGGGTTGGAAAGGTCTCCATCACTGCGTTGCAAACTTCTGACTGAAATCATAATACCCTCTGCAAGGGTATAAAAATGGAAGGACAACCCCAAAATCGACTGCCGGAGGTTAGTACCGATGAAATAGAACGCCTAATCCAAGCTGTTGCCTTTTATTGTGGGATTTCACCGACAGGAAGCAATACCACAACAGGGGCAAATCCGCAGAATAGTTGAAGTGCTATAGGAGATCTACTAGAAAATCTCAGTGGGAAGAAACATGCCGAGTGGGACTTCGCTCTCTAGATGGACATCCTGCCGGGCACGAAAGTAAGTAAGATCTGGCGAAAAGAATTTGGTTGCGTTGTACTAATAGAAGTATCTTTTTAAGACTCTGTACACCACCACCACTAGCTTCTTGGCAGCTTAAGCGGAGCTGGAGGACTCGCTGGCTTCTATGGGGAGGAGGAAAATAGGGCGCCCGCTAAGGAACAGTTGAAAAAGCCATAGCCAGCGACTGCCAGAATGCTGGGTGACTTCCTGCAGCATCAGCATATCCACCTCGTTCCCATTCCGGCTCCCACTTCCTCAAGGAAAAGATGGGGAAGCAACCGTGGGACGAGAAGGAAGCTTTAAACTACTATTTTACATAAATAAAAACATTCGTTAAACATTCCATTTATTTAAAATTTAATTTCTTTGTGTACCAGCAGACTACTCCTTTTACATTTCTCTAATTGATTTGTTTTCTGTTTGCCAACAATCCCTGCTGCTTGTGTACTTGATAGACCGATTTTTCATCGTGTTTTGAGGCATATGATGAGTGCTTTTCACATAAAATTATTATAAATTTATTAATGTGTTATAGATTTGGTTGTTATTGAAAGCAATTTTAAGAACCTCGATATGTATTTTACACACGTTTTAAAATATATGGAGCAAATAACTTTCCAATGTTCCAATCGTTAGACGACTTTTTTTCAGTAACACATATTTCAAAAGACGAACTTAACATTTTAACCCCAAACCATTACTCCTTCTCCACCGTGCTTTACGGTTTTAATCGTATATTTTGGCTTATAGGCATCTCCAGGTCGCCGCCAAACCTTAGAACGGCCATCTGATCCAAATATACTATATTTAGACTCGTCAGTGAAAATAACATTTCTCCAGAACTCAACGGGATGATTTTTGTAGGTTTTAGCGAATTCAAGTCTCTGAAGGCGTAAATCACGGTGGAGCAGGAGTAATGGTTTGGGTTTGTATGGGGCCTGCAGGCGTCGGGAACATGGAATTCATCGACGGAATTATGGATCACAAAATGTATATCGAGATCCTTAAAAGGAACTTAAAGCAAAGCGCAGATAAGCTTGGAATTGGATCATCTTTTTACTTTTACCAAGATAATGATCAAAAACACAAGGCCTTAAATACTCTCCTGTGGCTGCTGCATAATGTTCCGCACCTGCTTAAACCATCTCCGCAGAGTCCCGACCTAAACCCCATAGAGAACATATGGAATCAACTTGAAAAAAACATTAGGGGTCGCGAGATTCGCAATAAAACGGATCTAAAGGCAGCGCTACAGGAGGAGTGGAACAAAATGGACCCATCTTATCTGGAAGCATTAGTCCCATCCATCCCAAGACGACTTAGTGAAGTCATTAAAATGAAGGGTACGCCACGAAATATAAAATTTAATATAAAACGGTTAAGCGGTTAGTTAACTTTATAGAAGGTGTATAATCACTTTTTTGGAACAAAATGTATTTCGTTTTTAAGTTTTTCCTAATTTTTAAGTAAACTATGGGAAAAAGTTGTTATATTAATTTGTAATATTATTAATATTGTTGAAATAAACAACATGGCATCCTTATTTTTTTTGTTTATATTTTAATAAAGGAGTTATTGTTAACTAAAGTATAAATAGTCTGCTGCATCATGAATTAAGTGGCACACTGTACAGCTCAGCACCGAGCCTCTACAATTTGTATACAGAATTCGAATACAGTTGGCCCTCGCTTAGCATGGACTTTTTTAGCACGAACTCGGTCTTACGCGCTAAAAACCTCGTTCTTACACGATTGCAATCGAAAATAACTGACTTTTTTTGATAAGGAGCCACCAAAAAAGGAAACATGTTAAAACAAACTGACTTAAACTATAAATGCCACCAAATGCATTTCAAATTTGATATGAATAGAAACATATGATCTCCTTAATTTTTAACATTTTTAAGTTTCTATAAAGCTTAACCTGTTATTTAATTATTTGAAGAAACTTTTTTAATTTAATACCAACTTTTATTTTGAAAGTTTGAATGTTATGCATTTATTAAAGGCATATACATAATAACTTTTGGCTAATTTTAAACAAGTGTATGAAACTTTAATAAAAACAGACCAAGATTGAACAATAAAAAATTTCTTTTGCTGCCAATTTTGAATTTTAAGAACGAAACCCCCTATTTTGTACTGAGTCCATGTTTCGCTAAACGTGATTTCGCTTTACACGAGGATTTCTAGCGAGGGCCAAGTGTATTGGTTTACGGGCGTCGGAGTGGGCGTGCCTAAACTTGCGCTGCGCAGGAATCCCAAGAATCTGCATGCTTTATCAACTTTTAAGCTTTTATAAATAAATTCCTACAACATAAAAAACACCGCTTAACTCTAACGGGTATAAAAACTCACTTCCGGCATGCCACTTAACTCTTTTGTTATAAGTTTATTCTCCAAAGATTGGTAGTTGACTATCCCTATATACGGATAGTCCATATCTGCAGATCTCTCCCCAGTTTTGGGAGAGAAACAAGAAAGGAAGTAAGCATCGGCGAGCTAAAATGTGTATACTATATATGTACCCATATATCGTGCAACTAAAATAATAGGTGTATAACAAAATCCATAGAGACTTTTGCGTAGAAACGGAAACTCGGTCAAAGTGATGCTGATCCAAATTACATAAACTTTATAGGCTTAGAAATATTTTCTTTACTGCGTTGCATAACTGAAATTATAAAATTATTTGAAAGGGTATTAAAAGTTAAGAAAAAGTCGTAAGAATAAGTCGTATTTTGACTACGTGCGCATATTCTGGATCAGGAAGACTAGTCTGTTCGATCTTCCTGTCTGTCCGTATAAGCGTCGAAATCTCCAAACTTTCTTAACAGAATTGTAATACTCTCTGCAAGAGTATACCAGTAAATATAGTTAGTAGTATAAATGAGCAGTACATAACATAACAGAAACAACAATGGCAGTTCCAGTACCTAAAGTTAGCAGTCAACAACAACCAAAAGAAACGGCGGAAAAGCTGTCTCGGTTGGCTTGCAGACCGTGAAAAGCCACGAGCCACGATTGAAATACCGAATTTCATACCAAAAACATATGAATACCGATTGTTCATATCAAGAGC